GAAAGAGTGGTATGACCCACCTTATGCTTTTCCGAAGCTAATTCACAATTTAACGATATGTATCTGATCTATAAAGCCACTAAAATGTTACTGAGAAATATTAAAATGCATAAGTAGAAATGGATGGACTCTGCCTCTAGATGGAACGGCTTCATTTTGAAAATATGTCAATTTCGTCCATATTAGTTTCTTATAGCTGCAGAAACAAAGTGGCTTGAAACAATAAAAGTGTATTATCTTACAATCTTACAGTTCAGAAATTCAGACAGTCTCGCCAAGCTGAAATCACAGTCTGGCAGGTCTGTGTGCCTTTCTGGAAGCTCTAGGGAGAAATCCCTTTCTTTGCCCTTTGCAGCTTCCAGAGGCTGCCCACATTCCTTGTAGCCTCCTTCTCTTACCTTCAGACCTACAATGGGTCAAATCTTCATGTCACATCTTTCCAGCCTACCCTTCTGCCTTTCTCTTCTACTTTTGAGGACTAATGAGATTAGATTGGCACCAGATAATCCATGATAATCTTCCCATCTCGAAGTCCAAACCTCTGGTCACATCTGGAAAGTCTCTTTAGGACACGGATATCTTTGGAGGCCATTAGTCTGTCTACCATGGTCTCTAAACTAATCAAAAAAAGAAAGAAAGAAAGAGAAAGAAAGAAAGAAAGAAAGAAAGAAAGAAAGAAAGAAAGAAAGAAAGAAAGAAAGAGAGAGAGAAAAAGAAAATGACATCTTTTTCGAGCGATTTTTGTTACAGAGCACGTGCGCTTGCCAGAGACAGAGACGGAAAGTGACAAATCACCCCCCAGGTGGGATGGCCATGCCACAATCCCCTCTCCTCCATTCTCCTTTCAGGATTTTGGTCATGCACACACATGCACCTGGAATGAGTTTTAAGCTGCTGGGTCTGGGACTCAAACAGCGGTTGACTACATGGGAGTCTAGCAACATAACCATTACACCATCTGCTGGTCCAGAAAAAATGACATCTTAGTATTACTGCTCATATACTATTAAAAATATTAACACCTAGACTAAACTTATTAAGTAGACCCAGCTACAGTGGCACGGGTGGTAAGGCACCACTGCACAATACTGGATCCATGTGAGAAGGCACTGAGTTTCGTTCCCAGATCAACCTGAACATGCAAGCGTATTCCTGCAGAACAACCTCATAATTTTAGCTGGCTGTTAAATCTGGGAAGAAGATTGTGGTTTGACAACACCCAGTCAGAGTTCCCTATTTCTCTCACTCACTCTCATGAGATAAGTGGAACTTATTTTAAAAAAAAAAAAACCACAGAAGTAACAAATCCACAACTTTAGAGATAATTACATTTTTTAAATTAAGAAAATTTCAATAAAATTATTAATTAAAGTAAACATGTAAGCAGGGCTAGCAGGCAGCACAATGGTTAAGGCACTGTACTCCCACATGGTCGACCATGGTTGGAGTCCCAGATCCAGTGGCTTGAAACTCACACCAGGCACATGTGCATGTATGGCCCAAGTCCTGAGAGACAAATGGAGAAGGGATTATGGTTGGCCATCCCTGCAGTGGGGTGATTTCTCGCCTTTTGTCTCTCTGACTCTCCAGTGAGCACACGTACCCTTATAGCAAAAATTTCTCTCAAAATAAATAAACATGTAAGCATAATTGCAAAAATTATTATATATTTGAAATAGTCCTTCAGAGCACTTAGTCTGACACTGGGCAAAATGAATACCCTAAAATATAAATACTATTTAAGGTATGGTTTACCATAAGCAAAGGCTATCTTCTTACCAAAGGATGCCAGTACATTATTAGGATGGGGAGTATTTAATACATACGGATCTCAAGTTTGCAGGGTTATGATGTTCAACTATCCAGGGTGCAATGCTGCCAAGTCTCACAGAAGCCTAACCATGTCACATTGAAATTCTAACATAAAAGGTTATGAAGATTCCCTTTAGTAACCCAAGTCACCCGGACATAAGAGCTGTTCTAGATATATATTCCAATTCTGCCAGCACCATTTTGTTGCTTTGTCTACAAATATAGTACAACTATGTAATGACATACTATTCTGTGGACTTAAGCATCAAGAGGCCAAAAGGCCTATGAGAAATTAAGCAAGGAAGGTATAGCAGAGACTGCTGGTGACCCCCAAATACCAATCGCTTCCTCCCTCTTTAGGAATAGAAACCATTATTTTAGTGGAAACCAGGGTCACCCATCTTATAGCTAGCTGTGGCCATGACAAAAAGTTTTTCTGTATGCATGGAAGTGATATGTGAAACTACTAGATCATGCCTTTAAAAAAATAAATAAATAACCCAAAAACTTGCCATTCCTTTCTGTTTCTCCCTATTCTACTGACTAGATTATTGATAGAATATGAGAGGAAAAAAAGAAAGAAAGAAAAGAAAGAACCATGTTAGACCGTGAAATTAAAGTCATGTGTTAAGAACAGCAGAGCAGCAAGATAGAAGGAACAGGAGTGTTGTTGCCAGCCCATAGCCTGCTGGTTAAAGGAACTAGATCTCAATGGAGAATCCTGGCCCCAGTGGCTTGAAAAGCATGCTGAGCATATGTGTATGTGCGCGTGCATGTTCACGTGTGTGTGCATGCATATGCACATGTGCCCAAAATTTTCAACAGGATGGAAAAAGAGAGGACAACGGGTCATGGCATGACCACATCCTATCAAGGGTGATTTCTCCCACCCTCTGCCCTCCTCTCTCTCTCTCTGGCAAGCACACACACCCTTGGCAATTAAAAAAAGAAGAATAAAAAACTAGAGTCTCTGACACCATGCAGCATCATACTATCCCCTGCTTGCTTACTCTAGGAATAATATGTGAGAAAGATAGAAATTTCTACTTTTAAGACATTAGTTTGGCCATTTGTTTGTTTGTTTGTTTGTTTGTTTGTTTTTGAAAGGTTTTTGCTATAGGCCGCGTGCGCTCACCAGAAAGAGAGAGATGGAGAGACAGAAAGCGAGAAATCACCCCTAGAGGGGATGGCCACACCGCAATCCCTTCTCCTCCATTCTCCTCTTGGGATCTTGGACACACACATACACACACCCGGCATGAGTTTTAGCTACCGGGTCCAAGACTCGAACCATGGTCAGCTACATGGCAGTACAACGACATAGCCATTACGCCAACTGCTGGTCCCAGTTTGGCCTTTCTTAAAACATTTAAACTTGTTTCCTATCCAATACAGAATGTGGTATCAGAACAGAAGTGTTGATGTAACGAAAATCAAAATACTGTTAGCTGAATGGTGGGGTAGGAACATAGAACATGACAACGAAACATAGCATGAGAATTCTGATTATTTCTTATACCACAGCAAAACATTTTGGTACACTGCTACTTTTGAAACCCTGAAAGGCAGACCATGTACCAACAAAACCTCTAATTCTAGTGGAACTTGCTGGAATATTTTAGAATATTTGTTTGTATAAGATGACACATGTTGCTTTTAGCAAAATCTTATTAAAATAAACATTAAATCAAGCTAGGTATGTTATACTTTAAATTTTTTTTAATGTACATATATTTTGAGCCATTTTTAAAATCTTTATTATTATTTTAATTTGCTATAGGGCATGTGTGCTCACGGGGGTGGTGGTGTGGGGTAGAGAAAGCAAGAAAGCAAGCCACCAGGTCCGGAACTCAGACTGCAGTCAGACATGTGGGACTTCAGCATGTTAATCACCATGCCCCCTGCTGGTCTGACATTATTTTTTTAAATATGGAAAAATAAAGATTATTCTTTTTATTTTTTTTAATTTATTCATTCTCTACATTAATTCACTATACACCATCACAACACAAAAATGAATTTTCCATCCAAAATACACTGTGCATTGGCTCAATCAAGCACATCAACATACATGTTCTCAGCAAATAATTTTCCAATTCTTATGTCCTGCATACCTTGCCTTTTGTTTTGCCATCCTTGATTCCCCATCCCCCACCCTCTGCCATGTCCCATCCTCCTCCCACATTGTCCCTGGCATCCACGGTTGCCCTCCATGCCT